GGAAATGTTCAACCTCCACAAAGGCTCCAGGCATAAGCGACCTCCCAGTCTCCAGGGAGAAGGGTTGATCCCAGGAAGCAGCCAAACCAGGAGGTGCCGACCAGCACGGAGTGTTTGTTTGAAAGCTGTGGCTTCACCTGCAGCCAAGGGGACCCAACAGATGGAATCTAAAACTCTGGGAAATAGTAATAAGGCTGAAACCATGGGCTCAGACAAGGCACCACATAACACAGGTAATGGCAGAAGCCCAGGATGCTACAGAAATGGACTCCAGGACAGGTGCTCCATGCTGCGCAAGGAAACCAAAGAGGGCTGGGCCATGCTGCCCTCTACCTGGTACGTTTCCGTGCACCTGGAACCCTCAAGTCTGGAACTAACCTTCGTATGGAGGCCAGCATATCAGGTTTGGATCCCCAGCCGAAATTGGATTCTGTTCCCTTAAGTGGGAATAACAACACATGCCTCAATGAGTTGTTTGGCATGTGTTAATGCAGTCCGTTCTGCTAGACCACTTCTTTCGAAAATGGGAATTTGGTCTAATGCATTTGATACAATAAGGAACAATTTGAGACTAATGCACATTGTGCTTTTGATTGTGCAACTCATGCATGAGAAATACTGGGTGAATGCAGAACACTGCACCCAGCTAAGCCAAGCTGCAAAGGAACACACACAAAACACACACCCACCTTAAACATCTGCCAGCCGTCTCAGTACGGGCCACTCCCATCCTCACCTGGGGTCACCACTGCCCATCCAGTTTCAGGAAACCTCTCCTACCTCTTCACAACCTCTCAATAGCCACTTCCACAAGCAAACTTCCGGTCTTTTTCAAGTTGCAATGCCTTGTTCGTACTAGTATTTATGTATTTCTTATTCATTTAACATGTATAAAATTGTGTTACCATTTTTATTAAGTTCCTATCTTTATGTTTTTGTGTGTCATTGACAACATTTTTGAGTGTCATGTCCCTAACCCCGTTTTCTCCATAAGCCCTGCAGTTGCACAATTTCACATGGTGTTGCACTTTTAGGAACTAGTACATTGTGTTATAACAAAACTGACTACATATGTTTGGCACCTGGCAAGCTTTCAGTAAATGCCAGCTACTGTTAATACTGTTGTTATTATTATCGAACCTCTGGTGCTTGAATCACATCCATTTTTTCCAAAGCTCTTTCCCAATTATGAATTCATTTTGATCCTCATGCTTTACATGTGGATTTTCCCAATTATACATAAAGGAAAATGCAAATCATGGGAAGTTAATTTGACCAAGATCACAAGAAATCAAGCCCTGGCAGATACTTAAAGACCTGTTCCTTGCCTTAAAATTTCTTAAGGGGAAAAGAAAACCATTATAGCTATTATTTCTAATCTACATCCAAACAGCGTAAAGCAAAGTGTAAGAAGCATGGCCATTTTGGGAGTCCGAGGAGAGGAAGAGAGGGCATGTAATCACAAAAGAGTCCTTGAGGAAGTGAACCAGGAATTGGAGAAAGTAGGCAGAGGAAGAAAATTGCAGGAAGGAGACAAATCAGTGAATAGCTGGGTCTCAAACTCAGATGCCTACAGAGACCAAGCTCAGAAAGGAAGGAATGAATGCTCCAGTGTAAACAGTAGGAATTCGGGAGCTGTGGTGTATTCAGGTCCCACCCAAAAAGGATGGACTCTAGTGAGAGCTCTGACCAATTCATGCCTAAGGAGTAGATTCAGCATCTGATTTTTTTTTTTTAAAGAGAAGCAGAGAATTCAGGTTTTATGTGAAATTGCTAGGGGGTGTTGTGGTGGTTGGTGTTGTTAATTGTGGTCAGTCTTTTTTTTTTAACATTGACAAAATTCAAAATTTTTAAAACACCTTTCAGGCCAAAGCAACACATCTGCAGGCCAGATAATATGCAACCTCCAATGAACTGAAAGGGGGTGCCCAGGCCCCATGCAAAGACGTCTGAACACTGATGGACACAAAATATGTTATTTATTGTCAATTTCTGCAAAGACACATTTAAGCAACAAAATATACATTTGTCAACCTTTTAGAATTTGTTTTATACATTAACAAATACAATGTGCTACTATAGCAATAAATTAAATGTACACTATTTACATTACATAGGCAATCCGGGTCTACAAATCACCTCCTCGCTAAAAGGAAAGAAAGAAAAGTCGTCATCACGTGGATCGTCACTTCCAAGCTACAGTTCTTAGGTTCTATCACACAGAGGAATCTCTGCACACTTGGACGTCAGCGCCCCCCAAGCTGGAGCGTTGAGGGGTCGCACCCACGGCAAGGGAGAGTTGGCACACATGCTAAGGAGAGGGAAGGGAGGGGCTCACCCTTCCAAGCGGAAATGTCACAAAAGCAAAGACAATGGCAATTAAACCCCCGTCTTGCAGCCAAATACCCTCTTCCCAGGGCTGGCAAGGCACGGGACAGAGCCACTGCCCCAACAGCCTCTCGCTGGGCAGGGCTCTGCTGCCTTTGGCCCTACCAGGGGTTTTCTTCTTCCTCCCAAAGGGGCACAAGGCCCAGGTGGAAGGAGGGAGACGGGGAGAGGTGGGATTGGAGTGGGTAAGGGACCACAGATACCAGAGCTTAGTAGAAGAATGTGGGAACCAGCCCCCTACCAGGCTGCAGGGACCGCCTCAGCGAACCTAGAGGCTGGAGGAGGAGCCGTGGGGTCCTGAGCATGGCAGACTGGCCTGGTCCCTGCCGGCCACTTGTAGCCATGAGATCTACTTGAACCCCGACTACTGACAACAGACCTGTCTTCCATTGACTTAGAAATGAATGAAAAAGGTAGTGTTTGAGTTGGCACCTTAAAGGGTCAGGGTAAGGAAGTGAAACAGGCTCTTTCCTTCCTCATCGCTTAATTCTAGGTTTTTATTAACCCCCTTCATTTAAGAATCAGGGAGAAATGAAGAGTTTTCTTTTACCACTTTTCTTCTTGATTTAGGAAAAGGGATGCCAAGGGGTGGCTAACTGCATCTTTGCCCTGACCTCCAGCCCCCATCACAGACTAGAGTGGAAGAACTGACATGCCCGAGGAATAGTTCACTGGAATCATGTTGTCTTTGCTCAAGCTGCATCCAAAACCCCAAGGCCCTCACTGAAAAATCCAATGTCCCTCCTGATGAAAAAAAAAAAAGCTCAGACTGCAGCATCCCTGACTGCTGACACCTCCCTGCCAGCGTGGAGGTGCCAGCCAATGGCTTCCCCAAAACCCAGGGCCCCAGGAAATGTAGTCACTTATTCAACCAACCATGTAGGTGGTGCAGAGGATAGGACCCTGGATTGTGGGTTCTAATCCCAGCTTTGCCACTAGCTGGCTGTGAGACCCAAGCAAGTTATTTCCCCTCACTAGGGCTAAGGTTTCTCATCTGGACAAAGACACAGTTGGAAGAGATGCTAGAAGGGGCTAGAAGACTTGGACATTTAGATGATGCTGACAAAGTTGGACCGCAATGTATTTCAAGAAATGCCATTTTACATTCATTAGCACAGACTCTAGCTAAGGCCTTCTATCTCAAGCTTTTCTGCATGTGTTTTCAAGCATCAACTGAGCTGAGGGTATATGGGTGTCCGGTAGTGCCTGAAAAGTGGTTTCTTCAGTGAGTGGGGCAGTTCTGAGCCACAGACGTGTCTGAGAAACACCCCCCTCATGGAGATCACAGTGGAAACGCCTCAAATACCAGTGTGAGCACCATCCAGATGAGTCTATCACGAGGGTGGAAGAGGCTTGACCAAATCTTTGAGCCCCGAGACTGGGTGCAGCAATAAAAGACATTTTGGACCAGAGCAGATGTAAGGAGAGCGTGGAGGGGAAGCAGCCCTCCAGGAACCGAGCTGCCTGTGCCACGGTCCAGAGAAAAGAGGGGAGCCTGGGCCATCCTTGTTCTCCTCCTCCCTCAGCAATGGGATCTCAGGTGGACTAGAAATGCACACTCTGGAAGCCACAGGGCGGACCTTCTGGGGATGGTGCGGCATGACCCAGAGGGAAGGGATGTTTCAGATCCTGCCCAGAGCACCCCGACAGCAAACCAAGGGTGAAAACCACATCTCAGAGCTATGCTTCTAACAGGGCACACCTGCGCCTCTCGGGTCCTCCCGACACGCCCAGCCATCCTGCCCACCAGCTCAGAGGCAGGAGCAAAGCCCTCTTAGGAGGTAGGGGGCTGCAGGGGAACAGCAGAGCAGTGGGAACAGGCGGGCATGAGATTGACAGATGGGACGGTGTGGGGACAACATGGGAACCCCGGAGGACCCCAGACTACAATGCAACACGGCACAAGCACCAAGCAAGTGCAAATCTAGCTACCCAGAGAGGCAGGCCAGGACCCTGCAACAATTGTTAAAGAAATGCAGTTCGACCTTTCAGGTTCCTTCAGAACGCAGCCAGCGACACGCTGCCAGAATCCGCAGGCCTCGCTCCAGCACTGGGTGCTGCCATGATGACTTTTAATAAAAGCTAAATATATATTTTGTTGACCTTCTAACTAGAATAAATTTTACTGGGCTAGTACTTTAGGTGAGCATATTTCCCAAACAGTGGAAGGGGAGAGGTCCCCCTTGGCCTGCAAACAGGACCCAACAATTTCCATGTGAGTAGGGGGGACAAAGGATCACTATTTTGCTCTAATGGGAAAAGTAATGGCGAAATTGTCATGATATCAGTCCAAAAAAAAAAAAATCATAACATTCATATATGCTTTGATTTGGGAATAGGTCCAGATCCCTGTGCAAATCCTTGTCATCTGCTCATTAAAGCATCACCCCAGAGCCCTGTGCCACTGGCCCCACATGCACCTTCAGACTCTGTTTTACTTGGAGGTCGCCCCACCTTAAACCTGACCGGGGCCAATGAGCAGAAACGCCCTCTGGCACTGCAGGCTGGGACGGGCGAGAAGCCAGAGGGGCTGCTCCTCGGACAGTGAGCTGTCCGGCTCATCCTGCACAGAGTGCTCTAGCCCAGGCTGCAGGTGGCACTTGGTGTCTAAACCACACCCAGATGGGGCCTGGGTTGCAGGACATCGCAGAGAGAGGTGACAACTGCCTACAGCCCCACGGTTGGAGAGGGGAAGAAGAGGACTGGGGGCCTGTGCCCTGGACGCAGCCAAAGGGCACAGTAGCTAGAAACAGCCCCCAGTGCAGCACTGGGTCCCCACGGATGCCAGGGACATAAGTTGCTGAGGAACACTGTGCTCTTTCCTCATGCGTCGGCCTGATCAGAACCCACCAAACTGTCCAGTCATCCCCCACCTCCCCTGGCCCCTCCTCACCTAAGTAGTGAGTTAAAGACTTATGTCTTCCTTGAACCTCCACCACCAGCAGAGATGAGGACCCCGGCCCAGCCCTTGGGCCCTGAGGTTTTCCACAACCAACGCCACAGACCAGCGCTGGCCCGTTTGCTCCCCTGAATTCCTTCCCACTCCTGACTTCCCACTGCTCCGTGGGAAAAACATCTGCTTAATGGCAAGAGATTGCCACGGGGGGCTTCTCCCACAGCAAGGGCAGGCAGGAGCCTGCGTGAAATTGGGTGGGATGGAAAGTTCCGCCCACGGTTAAGGGGGTGCACCATGCCCAGTCCCGGACATGCCAGCGCCAGCTCCAAGCTTCAACCAGCCCGAGCCCCGCTCACGGTTCACCAGCCAGAGGGACACCAGCCGCGGGGACGGAGGCAGCCCCGGGTTGGCGTTGGCAGATGGGTAAGAAGTTCTCAGCACAGAAGCAGAAGGATGATTTGGAGCTCTGGAGACGCGAGAGCCACAGGTAGAGCCGACTTTTATCAGACAGGCTTAAGAATGATAATGGATCTTGGCTCCTGGAAAGCAGCCCCTCCACCACCGCTGAACGCACTGCGCTGCCTTGTCCAGGAAGGCGCTGCGCTGTGACCAAGGGCAGGCAGGGCCGGCCTCTGCTGGCCCCTTGCCAGGGCACCCTGTGCTGCTGCTGGCCTCTGCGCCCCACCTCCCACTCTCTGTCTCTGAGGCAGACCAGCTCCCCAGTCTCCGTCTGAGCCCCCAGGACCCAGACCGCCACCCCCTCGGCCCAACTCTCCTTTCCTCTGCAGACTGAACAAGATGACAAACGGCCCAGACAGACGTCACACTGGGAGGTCAGGAGCAGGGGCACCCCGAGGAGTGAGGCCTTGTCCAGAGGTGGGGAGGTGCTGCAGGGTGTGCTGGTGAGGGGTGGGCAGGGCTGTGGCCGGGTCGGGATTCCAGCGGGCATGGGGGGGGGCAGGCGGCGGCCAGTGGGGCGGCAGGCCTGCGACGGTCAGAGCAGTGGATGGCACCCCCAAACTGCTGGAACAGGAGCCTTCTCCAGGACAGAGCCGGGGCTTCCCTGGAGGAGACAAGGACGAGGGGGACGATGACCACGCATTCGGCACAGGAAGGAGGGGAGAGCACAGACGCGGGCAGTGTAGACTGCGGAACAGTGAGGAACGCACACGCCCAAGCGCCTGCTGAATACTCTCAGGACAAGGAGGGTGCCGGGTACAGGGGTGCCCGGGAAGTTGGGCATAATCACCACTTCAGTGAACAGGGGCGCCTTTAGCACATGATGGGAGGTGGATGTCAACATTCCCATTTTGTCTTCTGTCTTTTCATAAATCAGGTTTAACCTAAAGTGGGCTCAGCTGTACCCCCGGTTCGGTTCCAACCGTGACTCACACCCCTCGGAGCCCCACATGGGAGGGGCCTCCGGGGCTGTCCCTCACAGTGCGGACCTGGCAGGGCCGCCTCTTGGCCTACAGGGAGGACACACCCCAGCCTAGAGCCGTGGCCAAAGACACGGGGTGGCGGGGAGGCTGCCTGAGAGCAGGGAAGCAAGGGGCAAGCAGGGACGCCTCCCTCCAGGGAAGGAGGTGGGCTCAGGGCTGCTGCCCCTTCTGCCTGCTGGAAGCAGACACCCTCCCATGGAAGGCAGAAGGGAGGCTGCTTAGTGGGTCTGGTGCAACCCTGCCGGGCCACCCTTCCCACCTGCACCCAAGGCCATCTGCCCCCTTCCCTGGCACCAGGCTTCGGGGATGAGACAACTGTTTGGACTTCCCCCAGCTGGCAGGATCCCTCTGGCTACTCTTAAGTTATAAGGCCACTGGTAACCTGATCTTAAAGGAACACACTTCTCCCCTCGTGGCCATAGCAGGACACACACTCACTCGACCCACCTCGGACAGGCGAAGGACTCCTCTTTCACATTAGTGACCCTGTTTCAAGAAAAATCCACAGAAGAGTTTTGAATAACAGGACACCACAACTGCCCCCCACCCCACCCCAGGCCTGCACCAGGTGGGGACAGATCTGAAAAGAGCTTTCTTTCCCCTGCCTCCTCCAGGGGGTCCCCCAGGGGATGTTTGAGGCTCCCTCCTCCCCGGGCCGGCAGCAGGAGACCAGGAGAGGAGGCTGGCCTTTGGAGGCCGGTGGAATGTGGAATGCGGGAGGCCGTTCTGGGCTCCTTACCGCACCGGAGCTGGCGTGGCTGAGCTTATCAAAGCGGAACTTCAGGTTCGATCTCGGGGAGTTTCTGCTTTTGGTATCTAAGAAAAAGAAGAACTCCCATGAAAATAGGGTGGAGCTGTAGAGGTCACTGGGGCTGCATGTGGGACTGATCAGGGAGGCCGGGAGAAGGGGCCTCTCCCCCTCTCCACTGGGCGCCCCAGCTGACCTGTGCTAACCCAGAGCCAACTCGAAAATTTTTAGAAGTGTTGTGAGCTGGCTGTTAAACACAGGCCATTGTAAAAGTTAGGTTATATAAGGTCATAATTAAGTAAATTATATGCAACAAAGGTAATAAATACTCAGAATTCATTCAGTTGCTAGTTATTTTACTATGAGCTAGGCTCTTCCGTCTACTGTATCCAAAGAGTGGACACACCCAATGATGTGCATCTCTTCCCAACTCCATGTTCAGGGACGTCACGGTGGCAGCTGGAGATCAGCCACGATAGGAGTATTTACACCACAGAAATAGGCGAATGCTACCAATCAGGACTTGATGTATTGTTTTGTTGTCTAGACTTCAGAAACTAGTGGAGAAAACAGCAATTGCAGATTAAACTTGAAAATGGGTTTTATCTGCAGCCATCACACTATGAATAGGACACCAGAAAAACACCTGAGTAAATGTTCTTCCAGTATTTGAAGACTATGATCCGATTCAGCAAAGAAGCTGCTTATGTCACTGACAAATGAAGTTCTCTCGATATAAAGTACTCATTAACAGACACAATAGTGTCAATCCGCATTCACGACAGAATTACACTCACTCATCATCCGCAGCCTTAAGTTGGCTATAAACACAAAGGTTAGGCAGATATCAACAAAAGCATTTGACGAGAATCAACTGGACATACGGGATTTACAGTAAAGAATATTGCCTATTTTAACATTATTTGTAAACTGTGTGCTTCAGAGCCACTAAAATTTACACCAAACGTGTGTGACCATGTGTGTGTACACACGCGTGTGTTTGCACATGTGTCATGGGACAGCCAGTTGTTAAACACTGACCACCACGCCACTGGCAGGAGGCCCACTTGACTCTCTGGTTCTCCCCTGGCCAAGGGAATGCACAGCTCAGTACAGATCCTCCTGCAGGCTGCTAATTCTTGGTGCTTCAGATCAAGGAGTTCTCCCCAGGGCTATGAGCACTTCTCTCTGTGACCCTGCCAGTCCTCTTCTGGGTCCCCACAAGCCCAGGTGTGACATGACAGGTGATCAGGCATCTGAGATTATGGAAGACGGCATGTCAGGCCACCTCCCTCCTCTTGGCCCTGCCTCTTTCCAGACTCAGCCAAACAGTCTAAAACAGGTTTCCAGCTCTTCCCACGCCCACCCTGACACTGTAGGTACCCCACACACTTGCATGGAGTGGGAGCAAAAAGCCACCCATCAGGGTTCAACACTGCAGGGGGGGAACCATGTGAGAAGATGCATCACCGTGTGATGTAGTTAGCACTGGGCAAGAGTTACCAGACCTGTTCAAGGTCGCCTTCTGCCCTGGGTGACCCTGAGCAAGTTGCAGACACTCTCTAAACCTCCCTCACTCAAAACCTTATTTATTTTGGTATTTATTTAACACCATGTAGGAGCCAGGCTTGGTTACAGATTGTTACATTCATTCCTTCAATATTTAAGTCTCATAAAAAAAAAAATCAGAAAGTTTACATTACTGCCCCATTTTACAGATGAGGAAACCGAGGCTCAGAAAGATATGCCTGTCAGTGCTGCAGCCAGGGTTCCAGCCCAGCCCCACAGTTGCCCGACCACAGTGGGTTCAAGGAGAAGCAGATCGTGAATTGACACACCGACCGGGAAGCACTAACACGAAGGACCCTGACACTGCACATCCCCTTTTGCCAACACCCCTTCACTGTGAGAACCCCAGAAACGCTTAAGCCATCCTGATGGGTTACTGGCCCATTCTGCGTTTCCATCATTTAGATTACAGTTTCTCAACCTGTTGACATTTGGGCCCGATAATCTTGCTGGGGGTGGGGAGGGGGTCTGTCGCGTACCCTGTTTAGCTGCATCTCTGGCCTCCACCCACTCGATGCCAGTAGCACCCCCCCACACACATGTAATCCTGAATATCAAAAATGTCTCCAGACATTGCCAATGCCCCTGGGGAGCGAGACTACCCCAGTTAAAAGCCACTGACCAGGCCGGGTGCGGTGGCTCATGCCTGTAATCCTAGCACTCTGGGAGGCCGAGGCGGGTGGATTGCTCAAGGTCAGGAGTTCAAAACTAGCCTGAGCAAGAGTGAGACCCCGTCTCTACTATAAAGAGAAAGAAATTAATTGGCCAACTAATATATATAGAAAAAATTAGCTGGGCATGGTGGTGCATGCCTGTAGTCCCAGATACTTGGGAGGCTGAGGCAGGAGGATTGCTTGAGCCCAGGAGTTTGAGGTTGCTGTGAGCTAGGCTGACGCCACGGCACTCACTCTAGCCTGGGCAACAAAGCAAGACTCTGTCTCGAAAAAAAAAAAAAGCCACTAACTACAGCATCATTTTATTCCAGTTATTGAACAAACACTTAGGTTAACGGTTCTAGGTCTCTTATAAGCATAAATTCATTTAATATTCACACAGCCCACCCTCTGAGGTGCAAACTACTATTCCCTTCCTTTCATTTATGCTTGGAGAAACTGAGGCACAGAAAGGCCCAGGGACTTGCCCAATGTTGCACCACTAGTGACGGCAGATCCAGGACCTGGACCCAGAGTCCTGTGCTTGCCCCATGCCATGCTGCCCTCCCGGAGGGCAGGAGCCCCGTCTTTGATCCGTGGGCACCTGCAGCGCCCGCGTAGCAGTGCCTCCCACGAAGGCCTGCCTCTCCCCAGAGCGGGCTCCTCCTCTGCCCGGCTGCAGGGACCACAGAACCGCAAGACTCCTGCTCGCTCCGAGCCCCCACTCCTGAGCCCCCTAGATTTTACCTCCCTGACATCTCTTGAACACATGTCCTTCTCCCATGGCCCTGTCACCCCTCACCACCCCGCTGTGACCCCTCACTGTTCTCCCCACCCTCTGCTCCCAGGACCCTTTCTATGCTCAGCAGCTGCGGCCACCAGAATGGTCCCTCTCAAGTCCCGGCGGTGCTTCTCTGCTCAAGATCCTTCAAAGACTTCAGAGCGAGGGAACTCGGTGGGGCCCCGGCCTGTCCTGGCTCTAACCTCTCACTCCCCTCTCCTGCCTCCCCGCCAGCAACACTCTCCCGCCCCTGGCCCTGTGCCCCCGGCCCTGTGTCCTCTCAGGATCATCGCCATGACGATGGGGTGGGGACAGGAGTCAGTAGAAAGCGCTCGGCTTCTAATCACACAACCCTGAATCCTCCCCAGGGGGATCTCTGGCAAACCATGCAACTCTCAGAGCCTCAGTTTCCCCATACACGGGAGAGGGTAAGAACACAGGCGTCGTAAGGCTGACGAGCGGACCACGCGACCTGGCACAGCTGAGGGCCTGACGCGGCGGGGAAGGAGCGGAAACGTGCCAGTGCAGCGTGCCTGGGGCGCAAGCCCCACGGACAGCGGTCGGGCCACTGCCTGCCCTCCCGGCTACGCCGAGCACCCGGCCGGATGCCACTGACCTGTGGGACTCCGGCTCATGATGACAGGGGTGGCCACTGCCCCCAGGCTGGGGCTCTCGCTGCTCGGGGACGGGCTGTAGACAAACACCTCCTGCTTGAAGGGCGAGGTTGTAGACGGCTGGCTGCTCTGGGGAGAGAGGCCGGGTGAGCGAGGCGACCCCACAGGGCGCCCCCCGCAAGCCCGGGACAGCCGCTGTCCCCCATCCCCCGCATGGACCTGCTCTTTCCTTCCCACTGCCTGCGACCCTGGCTCCAACCTCCCCTGCTCCAAGAAGGGCCTCTGACCTGCCCCAGGGAGCACCGGCCCCTCCTCACCGTGCAGCCAGGAACCCACAGCAGGGACACCACTCCGCCTGGCCCTGGCCCTCTGCCGCTGCTGCTACGGCACTCTGAGGCCACTTGCTTTCGGGAGTGGTGATGGCCGACAGGGCACCTCTCGTCCCCACTCTTCCCTTTTATCCACAGACTGAAGGGGGGCCCCGCCCATGGTGGCTGTTCTAACGCACAGGGGGGCTGGACGGGCACACCTACCCCACTGTCGCCCTCCTCCGTGGCCTCGCCCTCCCCTGCGGTGCTGCTGAAGCTGCTGGTGCTGGAGGAGGAGCGGGAGATGTTGGCTCGGCCGTTCTCCTTCAACTTTATGAAGGGCCTGCGGGGAACAGGAGGTGAGGCCAGCCCTGTCACCTGCCGAGAGCCCTCCACCCCCGGCCCTCCCCGGGACCCAGAGCAGGGCAGGCCCCCTGGCGGCTCCCCGTGCTCCTGCCTGCTGGCCTCTGTGTTCCAGAGAGTTCCACAGCCAAGAGAGGGTCACTCCCAGCTCTCCTGCAGGCAGAGAGCGGGTTCCAGGGCGCTGAATGGCTCGCGCCAGCCTTCCCCTCCGCCCTGCTTACTTCTCTTTGTTGGGGCAGATTTCAGGAGAGCTGGGGTTGGATGACGTCTCAGACTTTATCTCCTGAGAAGAGTGTCCGCCATCCGGAGTCTTGGGGGTGCTGGATGTGCTGTCGCTGACGGAATGGGAATAGAGAGGAGTGAGGCCGTGGAGCCAGTCCCCAAGCCGGCACCCCAACCCCAGGCCCGGGGGGAGCCTCTGCCCGGCAGCTCTCAGCACCGATACGCATGGACTGCTTCGAGGTGCCAAGAGGGCCACCCTCTACACAGCCCTGGGGTCACCCTTCACAGAGACTGCACTATGAGCTCCCTGGACCTGTGGCCCAGGCGGCCCTGGGTGCTGGGAAGCAGAGGGCTACTCTCAGCCCTGAGGTCCAAGAGGTTCCTTCTGTAGTTTAGCAGAGACCACGTATGCGTGGTGACCACAGTTGACCCCACACAGGCTGTTGGGGACGTGATGGCCCTGTCCTCTGTGTACCTTTTGAATAACAGGATTATTGCAATATAACCCACATACCATGTAACTCACCTATTTAAAGTGTACAATACAATGGTCTTTAGTATATTCATAGAGTTCTGTAATCTAATTTTAGAGCATTTTTGGCTCCCCTAAAAGCAGCCCTGGGCCCATTTGCAATCACTACCCATCCTCCCTCCCCGCACCCATCCCATAGCAACCACGATGGATTTGCCTATTCTAGACATTTCATATAAATGGAATCACACATATGTTAGAGTTTTTCTGCCTGGCTTCTTTCACTTAGCAAAATGTTTTCAAGTTCCATCTCTGTGGTAGCATGTATCAGTGCTTCATTCCTCTTTATTACTAAAAAAAAATTCCATCTTATGCATAAACCACGTTATTTATCCACTCATTAAACGATGGACATTCGGATTCTTTCCAGTTTGGGCTGTTATGGATAACGCCGCCATGAACATCTGTGTGCTGGCTGCACTAGTGGACTCGCTTTCACGGACGATTCTTTTCAATTCCTTGCTACGTACGTAGGAGTGGAATCACTGTGTCAAATGGTAATTCTACATTTGACCCTCTGAGGAACTGCAGGACTGTTTTCCAAAGCAGTCACGCTACTCACCAATCCTAGCAGCAATAAATGACAGTTCCAATCTCTCTGTATCTTCTCTGATATTTTTTTTATTATTTGTCTTTTTGATTATAGCCATTCTAGAGTGCGAAGTGTCTCAGTGCACTTTGGATGAGGTTCCCAATAGCCCCCTGTCAACCGTGCAGGGGTCTGGGCGCCTGTGCTGGACTTCTCTGCATGTCTGATGCTGATGTTCCTGCCGCCTGGAATTTCTCCTGCCCCGGCTTCGAAGATCCCACCCTCTCTCCAGGCTCTCCTCCACCTCCCTCACCTTTCCTGCCCAGCGGGCTTCACCAGCTCTCCCTCCTCCCCTTGCCCTTAAAGGTGGTGCTCTACACACCTTCTCTGGGTGGTCATGTCGTTAACCCACCTTTAACCAGAACCTCTATCTACCCCAGTGACTCCTAACTGACCTTCCCTAGTCAAGGCCTATCTCCTAAACTCAAGACCTGCAGTTCTGACCTCTCCCCTGGACATCTCTACTGGATGCCCCCAAATACCCCCATGCACGGGTTCCAAGCAGCTTTTCATCCTCCTCCATAAACCTGTCCCTTGTCCTGCAAGCCTTAGTTCAGAGGATGGTACCACCACTCAGGGGTACAGACAGACAACTTGGTCTCAAACTCCTGACCTTGAGCGAACCTCCCACCTCAGCCTCCCAGAGTGCTAGGATTATAGGCATGAGCCACCGCGCCCGGCCCAGACAACTTGGAAACCTCGAAGTTAACCAAATGCCTCCTTTTTCCTACAAGACTGTGACCTGCTTGGTACTTTTGCAGCACTTGTCTGAGCACTCAGCACTGTGCCTGGCACATGGCAGATACTCAATAAACACTGCTTGCTGAATAAAGAACAAATGGGTTCACCAATTAAAGAATCAGAAAGACTCCAAAAGTAGATAAGGACACATATACAAAAAAAAAAAAAAATTGCAGGCCAATACCCCTGATGAACATAGATGCAAAAATCCTCAACAAAATATTAGCAAACAGAATTGAACAATACATTAAAAAGATCATTCAAGAACCTACCTAACAGGTACAATGAACCAATTCAAGTGATCGGCACACTTATATCCCTGACTAAAGCATTATAAAAGCTATCCATGAACCAAAAACATTTATACCCCCTTAATATTTGGGAAAAAAGTATATAGATATTCTTTTAAAAATGCAAAATTCCCTTAAAAGATTGGAAAGAAATATCCTAAATAGAAGCTAGGTGTGTTGGCTCACGCCTGTAATCCTAGCACTCTGGGAAGCTGAGGGAGAAGGATCACTTGAGGTCAGGAGTTTGAGACCAACCTGAGCAAGAGTGAGAATCCATCTCTACCAAAAATAGAAAAATTATCCAGGCCTGGTAATGTACACCTGTAGTCCCAGCTACTCAGTAGGCTGAGGCAGTAGGATCACTTGAGCCCAGGAGTTTTAGGTTGCTGTGAGCTATGATGACGCCACTGTGCTCTAACCCAGGCAACAGAGTGAGACTCTGTCTCAAAAAAAAAAGGTAAACATTAGTGGAATAATTATGGATTACTATTTTCCCCTTTCAACATCTGGTTTAATTGTATTAATGTTGAAAAGATTTTAAAAATAAAACTTGTGATAAAAAAAAAAGATCATTCACCACGATCAAGTAGGATTTATCCCAGGGAAGCAAGGATGGTTCAAATCAATAAATATGATACAACACATTAACAGAATTAAGGACAAAAACCATATGATTATTTCAATAGATGCTGAAGAAGCATTTGACAAAATTCAACATCCTTTACAACAAAAACTCTCAACAAACTGGATATATTAATAGAAGCAACATACCTCAACATGATAAGCCATATATGACAAACCCGCAGCTAACATCACACTGAACAGGGAAAAACTGAAAGCTTTTCATCTAAGATCTAGAACAAGACAAGGATGCCCACTTTCACCCACTTTTATGCAACATAGTGCTGAGGTCCTAGCCAGAGCAATTAGGCAAAAAGGGCATTTAAATTGGAAAGAAAGAAGTCAAACTATCCTTGTTCACAGATGACATGATATAATACTTAGAAAAACATAAAGACTCCACCAACAAACTATTAGAGGTGATAAACAAATTCAGTAAAGTTGCAGGACATAAAATCAACATACAAAAATCCATAGCATCTATATATACCAATAGTCAACAAACTGAAAAAGAAATCGAAAAAGCAATCTCATTTACAATAGCTATGGAAAAAAATTCAAAATACCTAGCAATAAAGTTAACCAACGAAGTGAAAGATCTCTATAAGCAAAACTATAAAACACTGACAAAAAAAAAAAACTGAAGATGACACAAAAAAATAGAAAGCTAACGCATGCTCATGGGCTGGAAGAATTAATGTTGTTAAAATGTCCATAATACCCAAATTGACCTACAGAGCCAATGCAATCCCCATCAAAATATCAGTGACATTCTTGACAGAAATAGAAAAGCAATCCTAAAATTTGTACGGAACCACAAAAGACTCCAAATTGCCAAAGCAATCCTGAATAGAAGAGTAAAGCTGGAGGTATCACGCTGTCTGATTTCGAACTATATTACAAGGCCAAAGTAAGCAAAACAGCATAGTATTGGTATAAAAACAGACACAGAGACCAATGGAACAGAATAGGGAACCAAGAAATAAACCTATGCATCTATAGCCAATGGACAAAGGTGCCAAGAACATACATTGAGGAAAAGACAGTCTCTTCAATAGAGCAGTGCTAGGAAAACTGGATATCCATATGCAGAAAAATGAAACTAGACACTATCTCTCAGCAAATACAAAAATAAAATCAAAATGTATTATATACTTAAATCTAAGACCTGAAACTATGAAACTACTAGAAGAAGACTTTGGGGGAATGCTTCAGGACACTGGCCTGGACAAAGACTTTTTGGTAAGATCTAAAAACACAGGCAACAAAAGCAAAACTAGACTAATAGGATTACATTGAGGTGAAACTTCTGTACAGGAAAGAAAACAATCAATGAAATAAAGAGCCAACCTACAAGAATGGGAAAAAATATCTGCAAACTATCCATCCAACAAGGGATTAATAACCCCAATATATAAGGAACTCAACTCAATGGCAAAAGTAATAACAATAATCATCCTATTTTAAAATAGGCAAAAGATCCAAATACACGTTTCTCAGAAGATGTACAAATGGCCATCAGGTATATGAAAAAATGCTCAACATCACTAATTCATCAAGGAAATGCAAATCAAAACTACAATGAGATATCATCTCAGCCAGGCACAGTGGCTCACACCTGTAAAAACATTCCAGCACTTTGGGAGGCCAAGGCAGGAGGATCACTTAAGGCCAGGAGTTTGAGACCAGCCTGGGCCCCCATCTCTGCAAAAATAACAAAAATCAGCCAGGCATCATAATGTACGCCTGTGGTTCCAGCTACTCGGGAGGCTAAGGCGAGAGGACCACTTGAGCCCAGGAATTTGAGGCTGCAGTGAGCTATGATTGTGCCACTGCACTCCAGCCTGGGCAACAAGAGTGGGACCTCATCTCTGTGAAAAAAAAAAAAAAAAAGGAGAGAGCGATATCATTTCACTCTAGTTAAAATGGCTTTTATCAAAAAGGCAAAAAATAACGGATGCCGGCGAGGATGGGGAGAAAGGGGAATATATTCATACACTGTTGGTGGGAATGTAAATTAGCACAGCCACTATGAAAAACAATATGGTGGTTCCTCAGAAAGCTAAAGATAGAACCTACCATGTGATCCAGCAATCCCACTGCTGGGCATGCATCCCAAGGAATTGAAATCAGTATGTCAAAGAGATACCTGCACGCCCATGCTCATAGCAGCACTGTTTACGATAGTCAAGATATGGAATCAACCTAAGTGTCCATCAACAGATGAATGGATGAAGAAAATGTGTTACATATACACAGCGGAACATTATTCAGCCACAAAAGGAATAAAATCCTGTCATTTGCCCCAACACAGATAAAACTGGAGGTCATGATGCTAAGTGAAATAAGCCAGGCGCCGAAAGACAAATATTGCACGTTCTCTCACATATACGGGGCTAAAAGAGTGGAGCTCAGGGAGACAGAGAGTTGACCGGCAGTTACCAGAGGCAGGGAAGGGGGAGGGGTGAAGAAATGTTGGTTAATGAGGACAAAATACAGTTAGGTAGGATAAGATCTAACATTCATTAGACAGTACAGCAGGGTAATTATTAACATAATTAAACATAATGTATTGTATAATTCAAAATAGCTAAAAGGTCCCCAACAAAAAGAAAAATGTTTGAGGCATAGCTATCCCAATTACCCTGGTTTGACTGTTATACGTTGTAGGCGTGTATTAAGATATCACATGCACCCCCAAAATGCATACAACTGCTATGTATCAATTTTAAAAAAGAATCAAAAAGACAATTAGCAAGAACAGGTTAAATATGATGTGATATATGAGAATTGCTAAAATTTAAAAAAAAAAAAAGGGGGAGGAGGTACAGAACATTCTAGAAGCACAAAGGAAGATTTAGTTGATTCTGTGTGGCAGAATTGGGGAAGGCTTCTGTAAGACAGGCCATTTGGGTGCACATTGAAAAAGGAGGAAAAGAAAGACAAGACCCCGAGCAGTGTTTCCGGCCGGGGTCAAAATGCTGCCAGAACAGCTGTGGAAGTTCCCACGCGGAGAACGGCCACGTGGGCCTCCATGGACAGAGAGCTGAGCGAGTGACAGGGGACATGCAGGCGTGGAGGCCGGGAATCGAGGGAAGGCATCTGCAAAGCTGGGCATGGCTCTCCCCAAGGTTGGGCATCTGACAGACCCCACAGTCGGGGTGCAGCGGGGGGAGGGGGGGCCCAAGAGTTACCATCGAGTCCGGCTGTCCCCCTGGCCTTCAGAGCCGGTGTGCAGGCGGGGGAACAGCCCCGACCGCCGCTTGATGGGGCTCCGCGACTGGTTCTTTGCCGTTGCCACCGCCACCGGAGGCTGCCGATGAAACCGACAGAGTGAGTGCTCCCCCTAACCCCAGGTCTGCTTCCCTTCATCCCCCCCCCCACGGGTCTACAGATGGCTCCTGCTCTGGAGGAGACCCCAGAAAATAACGAGACAGCTGGGAAGGCTGGAACCTATGTCACAGGAGCTGAGACTCCGAGGCTCTTTTCCCGTGTTCTTAAGCCAAGCCCCGTGGCCTCAGGTGACAACCCACCAAAGACCAGAATTCTTGGAGGTCAAGGCCACCGTCAGGGGAGCCTCACAAACTGAGAAGGTCAGGACGATTCAGGGGTCGCAGGCTGAGAACCACAAAACTAGACAGCCCCTGGAGTGACCTAGTTCAACCTCTCATGTTACTGATGAGGACAGTGAAGACCAGAGAGGCAAAGAGACTCCTCAGGGTCATCTAACAAGTCACTGGCAGGACTAGGACAAGAAGCCAGGGCTCCTGACTCTCCATCTGTTGCTCACGAATAAATGGACCCACGCAGGTGTCACAATAATAACAGAGAATGAGGGCTGCAGGGCCAGGTCTGCATGCACCCAAAGGCAAGGGGAAGCCAGCTGAGAAGGTTTCTGCTTCGGACAGTTACCTGCCTCACGGAGGGAAGGGCAGATGGGGGCCTGGAGCTAATCTTTAGGGCCCACCGGGCTTGTAACCCAGGCCCCACCTTCTGCCACGCACGAGCTGTGCAACCAGGGAAAGATGGCGAGACCCTGCCTCTGTATCCCCATGCCCAGGGAGGAGATAAGGGCCCTGCTCTGCTCACTTCAGGGACCTCCTGGGAGGAACAAGGTGATAGCTATGAAAATATTTACTGAATTAATTATGCAAGGCCATTTATAACACTAATCATTAGTATCACAGTGGGTCTGAGCTACTATTTAAAAAAGAAAAGAAAAGAAAAGAAAATCCTAGTCTATACAAATCCAAAGCCATTTTGCTTTGTGAAAGGCCAGGCTTGGCCAGGCGCAGCGGCTCACGCCTGTAATCCTAGCTCTCTGGGAGGCAGAGGCGGGTGGCTCGTTTGAGTTCAGGAGTTTGAAACCAACCTAAGCAAGAGCGAGACCCTGTCTCTACTATAAATAGAAAGAAATTAATTGGCCAACTAATATATATAGAAAAAATTAGCCGGGCATGGTGGCGCATGCCTGTAGTCCCAGCTACTCAGGAGGGCTGAGGCAGGAGGATTGCTTGAGACCAGGAGTTTGAGGTTGCTGTGAGCTAGGCTGATGCCACGGCACTCACTCTAGCCTGGGCAACAAAGCGAGACTCTGTCTCAAAAAAAAAAAAAAAAAAAGGACAGGCTGCATGGTCCCCTCACCTCCCCAGCTCCTGGTGCCAGTCAGCAAGGCCAAAAGCACAGAACTGCCAGGCCCTCCTTCCTTGGCAACTATAGGAAGAGCACAGACTTTGGATCAGGCAGACCTGCGTTCAAATCCCCGCTCTTCAGCTCGGCTGGGTGACCTTTAGCAAGTTACTTAACCACTCTGGGCCTCCCTTTGCTCAAGGGGTGGCTGGAGAACACATCAGCGGCCGCTTCAGGCAGCTGCTGTGGGGATCGGGTGAGGTCATGCCTGTGGATTACTTAGCTCAGTGCCTGGCGCACAGCGAGTGGGGGTGGCTACTGCTATCATGAACAAAAAAGCAGGGACACCCCTCCACAATCATGGCCCCTGGGCAGAGAAACACGCCCCAGGACAGTTCTGTAGGCTGAGCTCAAGGAGGAAGGCTAGTTGTTGAAGAAACTCAGCAAACAAAACAGGAGGTCTTCTCGTATGGGCCAACTCCGGGTGCCGTCTGGGATGGGGACTCCAAAGGACCACTTTCAGAGGGCAGGGTTTGGGGTCAGCCCCCAAGCAGCCTCAGTTTCCCTCCACCATCCAGCTTGCCCTGTGGTAGTCGCCCAGCCCCCCATAGGTCTGGGGGGACCCTCCTGGGCCCCACGTGCTGCACCAGGGCCTGCAGGCACTCACCGAGAAGGTGGTTTTGGTGACCTCCACGCTGTTGTGAGAGATGCCCCCGCTGAGGCTGCCGGGGATGGCCCCGCCATGCGGCTTCTTCTGGCTGCCCACCATGGTCTCCATGGAGTGGCTGCGCACGCGGATGGCCCTCTGCGGGGGAGGGGGGAGGACAAGGGCCAGAGAGTCAGCACCTGGCCCCTCCAGGGGACCCTGCCCTCCGCGTGGGGTCTGTAGACGCAGTCCTCAGCAGGTGCACACACACACTCGTGCACACACACACTCGTGCACACACACGCGTGCACACACACACGTGCACACACACAGTCGTGCACACACACACGCGTGCACACACACGAGGTCGCAGAGGCCCACGCTACCACTGCTGCAGTTTACAGGGAATCTCCCATATTCTGTCCCGTGCTCTGGGCAGGAGGTGAGGCAGGGCGCCAGCCGGGGCGGTCTGAGGGGCCAGTGCCCCAGCTCCCCTGCAGGGTGGACTGAGGTTGTTATTCTCACCTTACAGGTAAGGCAAGTGAGGCTTGGAGCTCACCTAACCACGTGACCTGGTCTAGTTACCAACCTCTCTAAGCTACAGATTCCTCATCTGTAAAATGGGAATTACATGTTCTGCACGGGATCGTGGTGGGGATTAAACTTGCCTAACCACACATTGACCCTATTTTCCAGAAAACTACGCTTCCTTCTATATTTACACCCTGGACTACCCCTTCTGCTGTCATCTGAAAGTGTGCTTTGTGCGCCTCGGAATATACTCCCTTTGGAGAGACCGTGTGAGGAGCTCTCACCCAACCGTGCATCAACCACGCAGTGCACCATCGCTCATGCTTGTGACCTCATGACACGCTTACATCACAAACTTGTGGTCTGACAGCTACTGAAAGAGGAGAGACACGGCCCCAACCCCTCACGGGTAGAGCTACAGTCTCCTCCGCCTCCATGAAACACAAGAGTAAGTCGTGATCCGTCTAAGGCGGTTGCTTAACCCCTCCCCTTGCCAGTGGAACATGAGGGGTGTCTGCTAGGGGAGCTGGGGAAAGGTTTCCTCGATGTCTCCCCAAAGAGGTGTGACATGTCTGCACCTGAAACCACAGTAGCCACCTTGGGGCCATGCGAGGCCAAGCCCAAGGGGCACAGCTGTCAAGCCGGGGATGGCAAAAGGGAAAGAGGGAAAGAATCTGGACACCACTGACCAACTGAGCCACGAGTCACCTAGGTCTTCCTGCCACCTGAGCTAATAATGGATTTTCCTTATCATGGCGCAAGCCAGCAGCGAGCAGTAGGGTGTAATCGCAACTCTGGCTTCAGAAAACTGCCGCAGGGGACTAAGGTGTGGGCCCTTCCTCTCTGGATCCACACTCGTGTGCGTACGAATGTGTGCTGGCTTACGCATCCCGTGGGCCACCCTACGACGTCTCACGTGGAAGAACAAGCCCCCTGCCTCCCTTGAGGCACCCAAGGAAGAGCTCAGTCTACGACAAGGTGGTCGCAGGAAAACACCTTGAGTGTCACTCCCAACCCTAACAGGTCTCCCTGGGGTCTCTCAAGGCCAGGAATTCTCCAGGCTTGGGAATGGCAAAGGACACATGTTCAAAGAAGGCCGTTTGTAGACACGACAGCCCCTGAGATGAGATATTGAGAACCAGGCGCGAGCCCGGTACCCCAGTATCACCTTGGCTCTCTTGTCTGAGTCAAGATGCCCCTTGAGGACATCATCTCTCACTCCCTGTCTAGACCACAGAGCAGAGTCACCTAGCAATGGTGTCCTGCGACATGGTTGGAACAGCCAGCACGTTCTACTCACCCCATCACACAAGCATCATACAGTCACGCACCCTTTGGACAGCAGAGGGCAGGACACCTGTGGCAGCACACTGAGGCACCCACCCTTGGGGGAGCAGCGAGGTTCCCTGAATAATGAGTTCAGTGCTCCAGAAACCCCAGCACCTTTACGTTCCTTCATTGCCCTCATGTCTGGCCACCGGCATCATCAACAATGATTCCAAACTAATCATTTACATTCTGATATGCAGTTACGAACCACCTAACGATGCTCTGATCAACAACAGGCTATATGTATGACAATGGTCCCATAAGATTATAATGCCATATTTTTACTGTGCCTTTTCTATGTTTAGATACGTGTAGATACACGACTACTCACCACTGTGTTACACTTGCCTGGAGGATTCAGGACAGTTACATGCTGCACAGGTGTGTAGGCCAGGAGCCATGGGCTACACCATGTAGTCTAGGCGTGGAGTAGGCTACACCGTGTAGGCCTGTGCAAATGCACTCCATGATGTACACACGACAACCAGTCCCCTAACGACGCATTTCTCAGGATGCAGCCCCGTCATTAAGTGCCAATGTCCGTATCCCTCGCTGTCTCTTTCTCAGAAGGGACTTGATGTGGGTAATAAGCCCTGTGTGATGGTGTCTGGTCTAATGAGCTTCGTATGCGTGACTTGTTGAGTCCTTACAACTCTGAGATGCAGAGAGGACAGGCATTGGGCTGGAAAAGGTCTCGAAAGGTAAATGATTGCCCAAGGCCACACAGCAGGTAAGAGACGGAGCCAGGGCTCAAACCCAGGACCCTGGGCTGCAGAGGGAATGGTCCCTGTAAACCAAAAAGTGGTTTGGATTGAAAATATAATTCAGCTGGTTGATGAACTACGGATGACCAGAAACCAGGAATTTTCAGGGCCCCGACCAAAAAAAAAGAACATTTCAGAGGCTTATGTCCAGGAGGACATACACCAGCTATTCAAATAGCGCTGGTGCTCTGTCGGGTCAGCGAGGTAGGTTTGAGGGGACAGTGGGCTGATGGGAATTCCAGGTGAGTGCAGGTGGCAGCTGCTGCTCAAAGCAAACAGGAAGGGGTTGAAACCCGGCTCCTCCCACTGCTCCGTGCACGAACCTGAGACGCAGGCTCTGTCTGCACAGTGTGGGGATGGTCCCCATCGTGAGGACCACACAAGACAGGTGTGTCCCACACTGGCAGAGACCTGCCTGCTCAGGGACAGCTCTCCTCCCTCTTCTTAGGAAAGGGAAGAGAGGTGACAGCTACTTCTGAGCCCTAAAATGAGGCTCGATTTGGAAGAAGCTGCCCAGGGAAGAGGAGTGAAGTAGCCCCTGTTCCAACATGACACAGAGATGGACAGCAGCACTGGCCTTCCCAAACCAGCAACAAAACCCGCCCAAAACAAAAAAGGGAAAGAAGGCAAGGGCCGGGAAAAAGAAGGCAAGAAAAAAGAAGGGGCCAAGAAAGCCTTGCAACAACCTGAAGAAGGCCCCAAGGAACAACCAACCCCCGAAACCCCCCGAACCAACCCAACCCCCCCCTGCTGAGTCCCCAGGGACAGGCAGGGGACTTTCGATGCTGCTTCCAATGCTACCTGCTCTGATGGTGGACAGCCTGACCTTCGGAAAGTTCTTCTGCACGCTGAGCTGAAATCGTACCACTTCTAGACCCAGGAGTCCCGCGCAGTCTACGCCATCACTGCCCCCGACTGCCCCCTGCTGTCCTCAGAGTCTGCGCTCCTCCCGGCTAATCGCCTCTGCTTCCATCCACCACCCACGGCACACTTCACTGCCTTCCTTTGAATGGGTTCTCCTTGGAGGAGTGAGAAAGCCATGCCACTTTCTCATTATCTGTTAATGTCACCTCATCTCTGCTGGGGGCTTGAGCCCCAGTTAGCGTCACAGAGGGAGCAATTCCCTTCCCTGCCAACCAGACCCCTCACTTCCTGCCAAGTGGCTGTTGTGAGTTGTTTCAATTTAACAAACTCAACTTAAGGGACATGAAACAAGAAGACTAGCGCCACAGGTGACACACCTGTCAGAGCCAGGCAGGAGATAGAGGTGCGGTGCGCTTGGAGACAGTGACACTAATTTCTTGCCTGCTGAGATGGCTCCTAATCAGGGAGCACTCGGAGGTCCCTCTAGCAGGAGAAATACAGGACGGAAGCTGACGTCACCACCTGGACAGACCATGGCTCCGACCCACAACCTAAGCACAGCCAAGTGCGAGGCCGGCTCTCTCTCAGCGGCCCTGCGATCCAGTGCGGCCATCCCGACATCGTAGCTTCCTGCCTCGGGGAAGAGGAAGGGCAGAGATGCCAAAGGCTGACACTGCCTGGCTGCCCCTGCCTGCAAGTACCTCGGGGCCATGAAAGCTTTGCCTGGATCTCTGCAGCCTCTCCTGCCACTAGGGGTCAGGTCAGACCCATGCATTAACTATCCACAGTCCCTCAAAGGCTAGGAAAAATTAACCTGAACATTCCCCGCTTGCTGTCACAGCCGGCTGAGTGGCCTTCTTCCCCTTGGTCTTCTATCCACCTCTCTATGATGAGGTCACTGGAGGGTTGGGCTAACTTGGCGTTTCTCAAAATGTGGCACACATGTGCTTTGGTCCATATCAAGTGGGTACATCTAGTATTGTCACTTTTTCTTCTCACTGCATTACGGACCAATTAAAAACCTCATTAATGGCTGGCAGTGACTGAGGACAGCATTTGATCAATATCTCTAGGCTGTTGTCGGGTGAGTGATGTACAGCTCCCTCATAAAGAAAGACGCTCTTGCAAGACTCCCAGGAATATGTCCACAGACCCCCAACACCAGTGGTCCCATGGACCGCATGTGCAGTGCCAACTCCATACCTGACCTATTTATGCCATACAAATGTCTTTTAATTGGGAGTTATCACGGCAAAAGTCTAGCCTTTATAATTGGAAATATTTTTTTAGATCATCTAAGTGAAAATGCAAACTTTAAAAGTATTTGTAGAACTAGCAGATTCCTGAGAATATCTCCGAGCAGCTCAGTGTGAAAGTAGGTCTAGATGTCCATAAACCAACTGTTCTGTGTCTTGTGGAAGAAAAGCTTCCGTTACAGCCGGAGAACGGAAGCCAGGTGTGAAGAACGGCTGGGCGTGTGAAGCGCCAGGCAGGACAGCCTAGGGGAGTGGGGGGTGGTCTGCTTCTAGGGAGACAGACAGAGGGTCACAGCTTGGATAAAAGGCGAGGGAAGGGGTGGCTGCAATCGCTTTCTGGGGTCGCTTTTGGCTCTTGGGGACTCTCAATTAGGTTCCCATCTGCCTATGAGATGAGAACGTTGACAGGAAGGAG